CGCAAACACTTTCCGAGTCGGATTATTTTGCTATGGACTAGCGACATGTTATATACAACATTTTCTATACACGTAAATACTAAACTAAAGCAAACGAGTGTTAGTAAATGCAAAAAATGTTCATACAGAAATAATGTGGTAAAGGCAGTAGTAATAATGAAATTTAATGCGAGGATTGGATAAACCTGGTTAAGATATTTTCTACAAGAGGTTTGTCCAAAACGGTGACTCTGGGCTACTGTCCAGGGCAGCTGTCAGTCCACAGGTTGCAAGAGGGACCCAAGCGCCGTATATCATTCTAAACCTAATACGTGGAGTGGGGTAACGCCACGGATACATGACACGCTTGTCACAGACTGTTATCGCAAACTTCTAGACAAAGCATACTTGTGACTTGTTTTCGTACTATTAATTACAGTATAATGTAGGAGACAGGATTCATGTTTCTAACAAAGACGCATTTTTTCTGGTTTCGTTTACAGAGTATTCAATTCAAGCTATTTTAGCTGTTTGTTCTTGGATATACGTTCTCAGCATAGTGAGCCTTTCGCAGAAAGGAAAGTAAAGGAAAGGTGGCGACGGAAAGGGAGGCACGTCAACTGCTAAGGTCATTATTCCCGTAAGAGTAGTGTATGTTGTAACGCGGGACGTGCCGGTGAACTTGTGGTAGACGGTGGATGGCGAGATTCGGGGCCGATCTTCGGGGACGGCTTGCGAGTTTTCGCCAACCAGCGGAGCTCGGCCCCAGCTGGAACAAGCTCTAAGCTCCCGACATATGTGGTAGAGTAGTGCAAGTAAGTGTGTGTGTAAGCAAAGGACGAGGATAGGACAAGGAAGAGGAAGGATAGATGGTCAGCGGTCCATGGCCTGTTTGTTAGGGTATTGCTCCGGCGTTTTCGTGGTGCTATCGATCAGAGCAGTCACCAGCTAGAATTATCCTCCAAATGGCGCGACTGAATTCGCCCTCGTTAACTAACTAAAATCAGAAATTCTGCCACCGTCGGGACTCATAGTCTAGGATTACCTGGTTAGAATGCAGGGACATCAAAAGTGGTGCCCTGAGTCACGGAAGTCAGTAAGGGGAGGAAATTAGTAGTATTACCCGCGGTATATTCCGGCCGTCCTGTCCTAAATCCTACTACTTGGGCAGGCCTAGTTTTCATCAAGAGAAAAATGGGATGTCATAGTACTACGGAAAACGTACTTCAGAGTACTTACTGGCCTTGCCTTTACAGTGCGTGAAAACGTACTATTACACATGTTGCATGTCGAGGAATCCTGACGAGTCATGTAAAAGGTATTTTTCCGTACGATGTACAATATTTTATTCCATTTTTATGCATGTCTTTCTGTAATTTTATCACTGGTATGAAATGCAGTGTGGTTATCATTTGTTATTTGCCATTATCATTTGTTCGGCTAGCATGGTCACATACTTGTTGATCGTTGTGCTTGGCCTTTCTTGAATGGTGACGACAATGTCAGGCTCTATCGATGCAATGGATTTTGAAATGAAAGATAATGTGAAAATAATGGGAACTCCGCCCGATATACGAAGAAAATACAAGAGCCACAACTTTTGACATGTTTCCATTAAAATAAAAAAAATATATATGTGAAAGAACTTTTTAAAGATTAGTAAAGATAGTAGTAACAGTAGCAGAAGTAGTAGTAGTAGTAGTAGTAGTAGTAGTAGTAGTAGTAGTAGTAGTAGTAGCAGCAGCAGTAGTAGCAGTAGAACCAGAAGTAGTAGCAGTAGTAGCAGCAGTAGTAGTAGCAGCAGCAGCAGCAGTAGCAGCAGCAGCAGCAGCAGTAGCAGCATCAGTAGCAGCAGCAGTAGCAGCAGTAGTAGCAGCAGAAGCAGCAGTAGCAGCAGTAGTAGCAGTAGTAGCAGTATTGCAATAAAGAGGCCAATCTAGAGCTTTTGGGAGCGGGCAGGGCCGTGGCGCGAGGGGGAAGGGGCGTTGCCGAACCCTTTGCGCAGGCGGAGCGGCCGCCCATTCGAAGCCGTCGCACGGCGCCGAGCGCAGCTGCGCTGAATGAGCTCTTTGCGCGCGGCGCGGCGCCGGCAGAGAATGCACTGACCCAAGAACTTTGCTCTTTGCGCTTGTCGCCTCGTGGCCGGCGCGACCTGTGGCTGACAGCGTGAGGCCAGGCGGACGGCGTACGGCAAACCTCGACCGCACGGCCAGGGCACTTCTCGCAACGAACCTCAGCGGGGTTTTATTAATGCTCTCTCTAAAACTCCTCTCCATCACAACCGTACTTGGACCCTCATCTAGATTATTTACTGTGTATTTTATATTTTTCAATTCTTTAAAAAGTCTTTAATTTTCGTCAAAGACAAAATCAACATCTCCGAAAAAGTCAAAATCAACGTCCTCTCGGAATAGTTATTTACGATACGAGTGTCGTATGATATGCTATATGATTAAATTACGAAATTGGAAAATTACCAAACGAGGTCGTTAGGCCGAGTTTGGAAAGAAATTGAGTATTGTAAAGAGACACGAATATAAAACGTTTTATTCACTTTGTAAAAATTTGTTATATTTATTGTGAAATTTCGTTCTACTCCTTCAATTAGTATTCAAATATTTATCCCACAACTGGCGACACTGTTCTTAACAAGGAGAACAATTAAAGTAAACACTTGGTGTATACTTCTCGACATAAGTGAACATAGTTCTGATTTGGAAATATAAATAACAACAACTTCTGTTTTACAAACATTGTTACCCAACAAATCAAAAAAAGAAATAAGCGCATGAGTATTTAATTTTTAAAGATTGGTGAGGGGAAAAACGTTCATATTCCATATCGGAAAAAGTTTTGATTAATTACTTTTTTAGCAAATCAGAGGAGAAGCCAAGTAGTCTTTGGTCCCACTACTGTATATTAAAGAGTACAATATCAATTAATGACATCATTGATATCAAATGTAAAATTAAGCTTCCGCGGACGCGTACATATCTTCGTGGCTCTCCGAGTGACGCCGCGTCGTTTGCTCTGAGGCCGACGTCTCGCCTGTCATGTCGCAGGCTTCCTCAGAACAGTGACACCGTGGTGCTGCGCTTCAGATATTATATACCGGACAGACAAGAAAACATTGATATCAGTCAGTTTACTTGGCTATTAGCGTTTTTAAAGGGGAAAAGTGTACGACACAAGTCCAAAATATTTTCAAAAGAAATGTGGCTAAGTGTCATTACTTTACTGCCCTAGTTTGGTGATGAAGTACATTACCACACTACGGCAGTAAAGTACTTCATTACGAAACGTATAATGGCGTAATGTTTGACTTTACCTAACCAAAGTAGATAAAACTATTTTCTACTACCCTTCCTCTAACAACTTTCAAACGTTTTCCGTGAAAAATCACCTCACCTCCTCCTCTGCCTGATCCCCAGGTCGAGGAATAACATTCAACATGTAGTAATGTTTAGAGGAACCTGGTGATATTAAATGTAACGAACCTCACCGGGTATTCTGAGGAGTAATTGACAAAAAACTGTTGCGAAATTCATCGCCACCAAAAGTACTCGCTCCATGAAGTTATGCTACACAAATCATGCTATTGTCAGCACTGTTCTCTTGGGGTACGA